AAAGCTGCACTCAGCAATATTCCAGCTATATGGCGGCGGTTTGTAAATAATCGAGTCTGGACCAGACAATCCAGTGATCAACAGCATGAGCGTCGATCTTCGCAATTAGAATGACATTTTCGAACCAAGTCAGCGAGTCTGACTGCCCAACCGCCTCTTACGACAAGCATGGGTTGCTGAAAATCAATTTTAACCGGATCTTCACGGATCAAACAAAAAGGGACTGGTCTCGATTGTAGCCGATATTCTCCAACAATCTATAGCAGTAAAAGTAGTCCGCTTTGGTCCGCTTTTCACATTCATTGGGAAATCAATGCAATAACACGTGACCAGTTCAGCCATAAGGAATTTAGTAACTGCAATGTACACAATGAAATTATTTTTTATCAAATTAACTAAGATCACAAATCATTATAAGGTTAGCACAGTAGTAGTACAGATTCAAACTCGGTAATAATAGAAGGGCAGTGATTACAGCAATGTGGTAATATTCACTTTCATCATCAATATTCCTGCTTGATTGGCATTTTAGAAAATGCTATTTGATGAATCTATGTTCATCAATATTCCTACTTGCAAGAAATACAGAGTTTCCAGGGTACAATGACCATCACACACAATGCTGAGACGAGAGGCAAGAGTTAGCTCCCCTCATATACCGAAGACGAAGACTCCAGTGGATTCTCCAATAACCTATGGGGTTTAACATATGTTATATTTGGGATTACACTTTCTTAGTAGAGTTCATATTCTAGTACTTTGGGGTGGGGGGGTGGGTGGGTTGAGTCCCATCCGGGACTCGAGCCCACATCCTCAGAGTCAGGCACCTAATCGCCTGATGGAATTTTCATTGTTCAAGCACGGACTGTGATCGTGTTGCACGTGCATTACAACTTTAACTGAGTAAAACGTATTTATATATGGAAAAAAGTAATAATATACGGATTTCTATGGCATATAGCAAGAACTTAAACTTCATCGTTTATGTTCCATTTTAACTTTATGTTTGACATTATGTAGGAACCTAACAGTTGCAAACAGGAAAGCTGCAACATATAGTTTAGAACGCATACCTCGGGAGGTGATATCATGAACTCAAACGAGCAATCATTTACCAACATCATAAGTGATGGGGGCATATTTAACTTTATCGGTAATTCTTTGCGTTACCCCAAAACAAATGCAAAACAGTACAACTAAAACATACTGGATAATTTACAAACGTAATTTATGACATTGAATATGCTCATCGTGGACTGATTTTATCGGACACAACACAAACATGAAACATCCAGTAAGAAAAGGCCATGGAAAGAAATGATCACCATTTTATAACTAGAAATTAATTGCAGTCTGAGATTTGGAATGGCAGAGAAAACCATTCATCTTATACCCTGATATGCGGATGATCTAATCGTCACCAATGTCACGGGGATGTAATTATTGTTGTCCTGTTTGTTTGTTTGTTTGTTGTTTAACACTCAACTCAGCGATATTCCAGCTCTATGGCGGACTATTGTAAATAATCGAGTCTGGACCAGTCAATCCCGAGATCACCATCATGATAATCGATCTTGGCGATTGGGATACGATGACATGTGTCAACCTGTTAGTCGTCTCTTAGGACAAGTATGGGATCACTTCTAACCCGGATCTTCATGGGGTTTTAAGTACTACACAGAGGACGTCCGATCCTGGCAACGACTATATGTTGACAATAGGAAGACTGAAGGTAAACTAATCATTTGAAAGATGTCTGATCTCTCCTTCTGGAAACAAAGAGACTGCACAGAGAAAGAATACTTTATCACTAAGACATTAGTGGATCTTCAAACAATATTTACCTGTGTGAAACATACCTGTAGTCCTGACGCGTTCGCTACGTTCCGTTTTCCATACACAGAGAACAACACATAACTGCAGAAGGAAATAATGGCTTATACTTTCGATATGACATTTGACTTGCACATAAATAACTTGACTGTTGGAAGGTTGAAGACATCCTCTTGTTATAAAGTCGTGTGGAAAGTGTCATTCTAAATCTTTAGGGATAAATATACAGAGATGACACGTTTCACCGGCCTCGTGCATTTACAGTTCATTTGGGCAAAGGGAAGTGGAAGGGAACTAGCTATTTGGTGGCCATTGAATGATTTAAAATATCGCTCTACCTCAAGCTTAGGATTTTTATCTTAAAAAAGAAAGTAAGCACATGCCGCTTCATCGGGAACTTTATAGGAAATGCATGCCGTTCAACTCTGGTTTGTGACACTTCAGTATTGCTGTGTGTGTTTTCTTCAGTCCTAAATTCATTAACAGTGCAGGAAAGAGTCTTGCAATAATGGAAGGGAGACAACACTACCGATATTATTTCGAGGTCCCAGCGAGCGGTGTTAATGTACTCCATAGAGGAAGTAAGCGCTTAAAAGAGGCTAAACAACATATACATGTTGAACAAGTGAACCGCTAGAGCGAGAGACACTGACACATCGTGTACGTAGGGAGTGCTGCTCCGCCTGCACCTCGCCAGCAACAGCTGACATCAGTCTGCTAAACATGTTTCTCAATGTGGCTATGTCAATATAACATTCCGAATAACTTTTTCCTCACTGTATTTTTTAAAATTAGAATTTGAATAACCAGGGTATTTTTTGTTCTCTTTGAATTAGTGCTCCGAGAAGTCAATGGGAGTAACAGTTACAAAACATATGCATTTCTTGATTTTAAAAAACGGTTTGCAACATGTCATACTTTTTCAGACTTCCCATAAGATTCTAGCTGTTCGGGATTTTAAAACACTAAAATTATTGCCTTTGGTTGGAAAGTTTGTCGAGTGAAAGGAGGTGTCACCGTGCCAATTCATTACAAGAGTTAGCCTAATTTGAGAGAACGCATGTCCCAGAATCGATATTAAACTCAAATATAGTAGACAATTTGAGTTTGAAGAATAGAGTACTAAATTGTTTGAGCTCTTTTATTTTAAAAAGGCAGCCAAGTTAGAAATTCAGCTGTTTCAAATTGTAAAACTCAGTTTGAAATTGGAGTAAAAACTTAAATTTGTTTCGAGAAATCGGGTCCAGATACAGCCTACAAATTCAGTATATGTGACCCATGTAATCACTAAGTAGGGAACACAGGGAGTGGGTGAAGGACAGGGAAATAATTGTAACAAGTATTGTTCATGTTGTTTCCAACTTTTTCTGAAAGTTGTTTTATGGGACATTTAATTTGTTTGGTACTTCAATGAAAATGTGATACTGTGTTGCTGCTGTGTAGATGCCCTGCGTCGACGTTTCCTTTGGGTTGTGTTGACAAATTACGTGAATTTCCTGTGAACGAGTGGGGCGAGTGGTGGCGAGTGGTGACGAATGCATAATATTATACGGAAAAGGGCGAGTTCAACCGATTGTGACAAACCATGCTCGAGCACACAGCCAGCGGAAAGGTAGACTTTCTGAAGAGTACATGTTGTGAAACTAACCACTCCTACTGGTATTGTGTTTTGTCTATTGTTATTCATTATCTAACAGAAGTCTACGAGTGTCAATACGTTTTGAAATCAGTGATAATAGTGAGAATTTAACAGGGAAGTTGTCTACTTTCGTTATCACTATAAACGATGGCCTCGCGATGGTGTTGTAACATGCAGCAATGGAGCTAACTGGGTAAATCTAATTATACAAGGCTATTATCATTGACTGGTTCATTGAGTTGAAAATTTATCAGTGTTCAGGTGTTATTTCGGTGAAAGTATCCATTCAATCGTTCCTACTTCTGTGTTTTGTGCGACAACTTACTGTCTGTGGCTAGGGGGCGTGTCGAGCATGTGCATTGTGAGTGTTTGCCTTTGAAAGGGGTCGAGGTTATCCGTGAGTGAATAGATAACATGTAATGCTCCAAGTCGTGGCGGTGCAGATATGTGTGTTGTGTTTGCCACGCCTGATCATCATGACAGGAATGTAGGTTTTGTCCGAACTTCCCTGTTAATATACTGTTCAATATAGACAGTCAGAGAAAACACTGTGTATACCTTAATAGGGAACGGGAAGGACAGTCCATGACATCATCACCAGTGTTAGTAATAACATGGTGGGGCTCGACGTTGTCATAGTAACATGTCAGTCCAGGACCATGTAGCTGCATATATGGCCGAAGATGATGGGTGAAAACCTGGTCTCGATACTGTATGGTAGTAACATATTCCTGGACGACAATCAGCTGAGATTTCGACCATTGGCACGAATACGTTCCCAAAATTATTACGGATTTGCATGGTAAATAATAAGGTCAATAAGATGTCAGTGTTCCCAGTCTGACTGCTCAGATATAGATAGATAGATAGATGATAGACATGTAGATAGATATCTGTTTATATTTACTATGTGTCTGTGTGTGTGCGCGTGTTCGTGTACAGCTTCACATACAGATGCGCGTCTGTTCAGATTTTTCATTGCTGCTTGTACTGAATCTAAGTAATTTCTATTAAACTAAGAAGGCAGAAACTGCATGTGTATCTTGCAGATGGCGACCGCCGGGCTAGAGAAGAAAGTAAAGGATAATTTCCTGACTTGCTCCATCTGCTTGGAGATGTACACAGACCCGTCTACACTGAGGTGTGATCACACATTCTGCAGGAAATGTGTCACCTCATACATCCAAACCAGACCTGATGCTGTACAGTCCAAGACCATCCCCTGTCCCTGCTGTCGACAAGACACCAAGGTCCCCCACCCCAGCAGGCCGGTGGAGGAGTGGGCGGGGCAGATCAAACCCAGCATCATTATACAGGGGCTGATTGACACCTATAGGTCCGAGGTGGCTGTGCAAGGTAAAGTGAAAATATGATATGCGTGTGTGCGTGTGCCTGCGTGTGTGTGTGTGTATTTAAAACCAGTGGTAGACATAACATTGACATATGTGTGTGTAAACAAATACCCTGCTTCCATTCGTAGCCTTTTCAAATTGCGATGAAAACATGTACATATGTACTTGTTTTACAGGGACCTCAAGCACCTGTTGTACGATCTGTCAGCAACTAGGGGAAACAACTCCAGGGGCCTTGTGGTGTGCTGAGTGTGAAGTGGCCCTCTGTGACAAATGTGTGAAGATACACCGAGTGACACCGAATTCATTGAACCATGACCTGTGTGATCTGTCGTCTAGGTCAAAGGTCAAACGGAGGATCAAGTGTACGGAACACAAGAGTAACCGTGTTGAGTTCCACTGTCAAGACTGTGGGAAGGCTGCCTGTCAGACATGTTGTATCATATACCACAGAGCTTGTAAGACTGTCGTCACCATTGAGTCTATGAAGCCAGGGATGAAGGCAGCACTGATGGAGAAGAGACTTGGCATGGAGAAGAGACTGAAAGTGAGGTCAAAGAAAGTAGACATACGAAACGAGAAACTCGAAAGTAGTTCTAGAATCACAGAGTCAGCTGTTCAAAATATAAGGTTGATCTGCCAGACAGCGATTAACAAGATTAAACAGAAGGAAACACAACTCTTGGATGAACTGAATACCATATCACAGACATACGCCGACCAACTCCAAGCTGATGTGAAGCTGGAAGAGATCGAGATGCAGATGTACAGACAACACTGTGTGTTCATTGACCATGCCTTGGTATCGGACTGTGAGATGGACCTGTATGACGCGTATCAGGCCTGGGAGTCTGGAGCTGTAGAGATGGAGGATGTCAGGGATACAGAGGCAGCAGACACCCGGAGAATAGCTGAGATCAGGTTTATACCTAACACTTTCAGGGTCCTGAAGACCCTAGATAAACTGCAGTTTGGGAAAATTGGGGTCACATACCAGGGCACATGTCTACTGTCTCCAGTGCTGGTTGACACGATAGATGTGAGGGTGGAGAGTGATAAGATGAGCCCTGTCTTAAGGTGCATAACAGTCCTGGCTGTAGATGATATACAGACATGTGTTGTCACTGACTGTTATAACAATTGCCTGAAATCTTTGTACATTAGAGACAATCATCCATGTCACAGTAAACTTCCCCTGGATAACTCACCATTTGGGATGACACAATTGAAGCAGAAGCAGGTGATGGTTGCTGTCCCTGAATCCCGCCAGATTGTAACGGTAGAGGTGACCCCCTGACCTGATGCTGCTCTCAACCATCCTCACTAACAATACTTACTACAGTCTGGCTGTTCTGAACTTTTCATCTCTGGCAGCAGGTGGCAAGGATTGTCATGGTTACGGTATTGTTGAAATCCTGGACATGTCTGGACACGTGTTGAGGACAATCACTGCACACAATGATGTCTCACTGTTTACCTACCCCAGGCACATGTGTGTCAACAACAAGGGCAACATACTCGTGTCTGACTGGGGGAACAAGACTGTGACATGTCTGACGTCCGAGGGGGATGTTTTATGGAGATACAACCGTACCGGAGACAAGCCACTCAGCTACCCTCGTGGTATCACAACTACCACTACAGGAGACATCCTGGTTGTAGATAGGAACACAGACAAGGTGATACAGCTGACAGAGTCGGGGGGAGTTTGTCAGTGAACTGCTCACGTTAGAAGATGGCGATCAGACAGGCATGTGCGATATATTTTGTGATAAATACGGTTTCTTATTTCTATGCACAGACACGGAAGTGAAAGAGTACGTGTTTGTCTGACATAAAAATCAAAAGAATGAAAGTCAGTGCAGAGCTGTGGTTTAAGCGTTTGTCACTTTACTGCTCGTGATCTACTGTACGTGGGGTTAATCTGGAAATGTTTGTGTATTCACCAAAACGTATGGGCATAGCTTTGTCGGTGAATTGCAGACATGCAATATTCAAATAGGTCGTTTCCAGCAAGAAGTGAAAAAGTCCACCAGGTGAAACACACCAGCTGTTGTGGAGATTCCTGGGATGACCTGAGCTACACAACGACTACTTGATCTCAACAGTGTGCTGAACCAGCTGAAGTTCAAAGAAACCCCATGCATGAAACCCAGGAGACATATATACATTGACTAATGTATGGATGGACTAGGACCACAGGAACTCTGAAACTGTTTGTCAGTTTTCGGAGTTTCTTCCTCATAGAATATTCAGTATCAATATACACGATCTTCACCCAAACCTGATGATATAGCTTATATTGTCTAGTTGAGACATACCATATTCACTTAAAGGTCATTTTCAGCAATTAAATGGACCGCATGATGACTCGGTGAAACACATCAGTGGTGATAGTGGTTGAACCTATACCTAGACAGGACAATATGATCTTAACATAGTATGATAATGCATACCACTTATGGTTAAAAGCCGAGACATGTGGTGAAAAGGAAACCTTACGTCTCTGCTCATGATCATGACTTGCGTGAAACGCGCGCGCAGTGTTATCAACTTAGAAAGGTGTATGGCATACGATCCAGTAGTCTCAGTGTCTGTGAAACGTCCCCTGTTGCGCGCAGTGCCAAAGTTATCAAGTTTTGCACTTGAAGGGTTGGCACTATTTACTTCTTCACAGAGTTTATCACGAGGAGATAAAATCTGTATATTGCACTTGAAGACTTCTCAGATTCACGAGGAGATAAAATCTGTATATTGTGAAGATCTTATGATAGTGTTGTGAGATTGAAAAAGGATTTTCAAACCGGGCATATGTCCCTCAGAGATGCGCCAAGAAGTGGACGCCGTTTTGACGATATCAATGAGGTCATTCAAGAGGTGGGGTTGGTTTTCCATGAAATCAGGGGTTCTATTCAGGCGTCTGCACAAGGTCAAGAAATGTTAGGAAAACTCTGGATTGGGCCTGTGTATATAGAAGTCTTAACGACAAGGAATCATGATAATTTTTTCCCCTGAATACGTCTTGGTGATAATTAGAATTTTTTTATACCCTCTCGTAACTCAAGCAAGTTCTATGTGGATTAATTGAGCACTGTTCAAGGATTCATGACATATAGGCTATAGTTTTCATTTGAAAACAGACATTAGACAGTGGGATAGTTACAATCCATTAGTGGGTTGTTTCGGGGATAAAGATTAAATTTACTTTTGAGAGTTTGCTAGTTTATTTGACCCGGCGTTAAACCGAGGCAACATTTTCTTTCTCTATATTCGTTCACTTGTCTTTTGTCAATGTCGATGTCGATGGGAATCGCCTACAGAGCGTAAGGTATACACGTCATTAAATTCCTCCAAGAGCCTTTTGATTTATGTGATTCTTTAACAATAGTTTGACTTCATTTCGGGAGCATAACAGTTGAGCTGCTTTGGATTATTTGCGTTTTGAAGGCAGTATGTCGTCGACTTTCGTCGAAACGCGGAAACGTTTTTATTTCTTGAGCATGACACAAATTGTCTAATATTCATTCTGAAACTGAACAAAAGAAACAAGAAAAATATATCCATAATATTCTCTTTGGCTTTGTTAAAAAAGAAGGCATTTGTGCTTTTTGTGTAACGGCACCAGGACAATAATAAGCTGACAATCCAAGCTGAGTTCAAGTTGTGATAATTATTCGTTTTCGATGATAGTTTCTGACTAAGGTTAGGTCGTTTTTCAGCCTGATTAGCAATGTCGTCCTTGACGTCTAGCGAGACTAGGCAAAACGGTTACATTCATGGTCCGGATAAGGCGATGGAAATTTGCTTGAATTTTCATTATTCAAGCACGGGCTGTGATCGTGTTGCACGTGCATTACAACTTTAACTGGGTAAAAAGTATTTTCATATGGCAAAAAGTAATAATATACGGATTTCTATGAAATACAGCAGGCGTTTCAGCTCCATCGCGTTTGTTGTTTGACATTATCAGAATATGTAGGAACAGAACAGTTGCATACAGGATAGTTTAGACAGCTTATACCGGGAGGTGATATCATGAACTCAATTTCTATTTGAAAACGAGGAATCATTTATGAGCATCATCAAACACTGTTCACTAATGTTGGGGGAATATTTCTTCGCTTTTTCGGTATTTCTTTAAGTGACCCAAAACAAATGCAAAACGCTACAACTAAAACATACTGGAGAATGGTGGAGAACTTACAAACGCAATGTATGGCATTGAATAATCTCTTCATGGATGATTTATGTCGGACACAACAGATATTAACAACATGAAACAGTCGGCAAGAAAAGACCATGGAACGAAATTATCCCCATTGTATAACTAGAAATCATTGCACTCTTTGCATGAAACTTGCAATGGCAGAGAAACCCATTCATGAAATATGATATACTGGTTATCTTGAAAGATGACCAATGAAATTCAGTGGATTCTACTGTCATGTACACCGGTGTCATGGAGATGCAATTACTTTTGTCTTGTTTGTTTCTTGTTTAACGCTCAACTCAGCGATATTCCAACTATATGGCGGAATACTGTAAATAATCGAGTCTGGACCAGATAATCCAGTGCTCAACATCATGAGAATCGGTCTACGCAGCTGGGATTCGATGACATGTCAATCAAGTCAGCGAGCCTGACCACCAGATCCCGTTATTTCCCTCTTACGACAAGCATGGATTATTGAAGATCAGTTCTAACCCGGATCTTCACGGCTCGGCTTAAGTGAGACACAGCATGCTTCTAACAAACCATAAGACAGTGTAAGAATACAGGTATTAAAATAAAGGTCCTACAGTGCAAGTCTTATAACCCAGGTAGTGAAGTGTAAGTATGTAAGTATGACTACCCACCATGGTGAGACGTTTGACAACTCTCCTGCTGAGAGGAGAATGAGGTGACAATGTACCCACCTAGTGAGATTGGACTGTTTGACTGATTGACATGTGCCAACAATGCTAGCCTGACCACCCGATGCCGTTATTTGCCTCTTAGGACAAGCATGGGTTCCTGAAGACCACTTTTAGCCCGGATCTTCATGGGGTTGTAATTACTAGACAGTACGTCCGGTGCCCTACCTAACTGGCAACGACTATGTGTTGAATATATGAAGTCTGAGGGCAAACTATTCATTTGAAAGATTTCTAGCTGGTCTCTCGTTCCGGAAACAAAGAGACTGCGCAGAGTAAGAATACTGTGTCACTGAAAAACATAAGTGGATCTAAAATCAATATTTTACCTGTGTGAAACATACCTGAAGTCCTGACGAGTTCGTTACATTCCATTTTCCATACACAGAAAATAACACATAGCTGCAGCAGGAAAATGTTTTTCTACTTTCGATAAGACATTTGACGTGTGCATAAATAGCATGACAGGGAAATAATTGAAGCCAGTGTTGTTTATACTGTTTCCAACATTTTCTGAAAGTTATTTTCTTGACAATGTACATTTAGTGTGTTTGGCATTTAAATGAAAATATGATACTGTGTTGCTCCTGTGTGGATGCCCTGTATCAATGTTTCCTTAATTTATGTTTACAAATTATCTGAATTTCCTACCAACACCGGGTGCGTGTTTTACAGAGAGTCAATAAAGGCCAATAACCGCCCTGTCAACAGAACATTTACGGAAAACGGCGAGTTCAACCGATTGTGACAAAACACGCCCGAACACACAGCCAGCGGAAAGGTAGACTAAGTCATTGCTTGTCATTTTCTGTAAACTACGTATTGTCAAGCTGATACCTGATACCGGTTATTGTGTTTTGTCAAATGTTATTGATGATCTGACAGACTCTGAATATACGAGTGTCAGTACGTCTTGAAATCAGTGATACTTGAGCATTTAACGCGGAAGTTGTTTACTTTCGTTATCACTATAAACGATGGCCCCTCGTAACATATAGTGAATTGTCTCGATATTATAATGATAGTTTGTCAAACAACTTTTTTATTTTTAGGACATAAATTCTGCAAACAAATCACAGAGTAGGTCTGATGTTTTCATTATGATCAGCGTTTCATTGAGTATTATATGTTTATTGGTTTTCGAGTTAGATTGCAATTCACCGGTCCGCTTTTGAGCCAAACAGACTATACATTCAGTTAAGGTTTACTGTCGGCGCGAAATGCCCCCAAACCAATACGCTTCCTTATCCAAATCGTCAGCATCACAAACACATCATAGTGTTAGAACACAATGTTGTGTTACCGATTGTTTAAGAAGACATAACCTTTTTTCCAAGTGGATAACTGAGATGTTAAACTAGCTTTTATGTGGTGTGAGTAAGACATCATTTGGAACACATTTCCTGTAACTTGCTTATCTGCACCGGTATTGTTGAGGTTTTTAAAAAAGTAAAGGGAAGTAACTCTTGTCCATTACTTCGTCTGTTTGCTGTCAACATATTTATTCTTAATCTGAATGAATAAATGTGGGGAAAATGTCAACGTTTCCTCGGACATAAGGACATACTCTGGCACATGCTACATATCACACCGTACACATGCCTACATACATACATGCATGCATCATATGTAGGCTATGTATGTATGTGTGTTCGCGCGCGTTCGTATTCGGCTTCGCATGCAAATGCTTGTGTGTTCAGATGTATCTTTACTGCTTATGGAATCTGTAGTGAGTAAAATGTAAACTATTTGTATTAAAATAAAAAGACACAAACTGCATGTGTATCTTACAGATGGCGACCGCCGGGCTGGAGAAGAGAGTAAAAGATAATTTCCTGACTTGCTCCATCTGCTTCGAGATATACACAGACCCGTGTACACTGAGGTGTCATCATACATTCTGCAGGAAATGTGTCACCTCATACATCCAAACCAGAGCTGATGCTGTACAGTCCAAG